CTTGCTCCTGTGGAAATGGATTTTAGCACAACTCCTATCTGGGAGGTTAATGGAACCTGACATTTACATAAACTTGGCATATCCATTTATAAATAGTCCAAATAAAGCAGTAACAAGATAATTAGGCTGTTAGAAAAGCTGTTTACAATTTGTGATCATAGTAAAAATAGATTTTTTTGAGAAAATGTCCTTTTTTGGAGGGGGGTGAGTAATTACAATCTCAAAATGACCAATTGGACTAAATGTAAATATAAAGGTAAAATTTGCATGGTTGAACATCGTCTGTCATTTTCATCTTCCAGTAGCTAACCTATTTTTACTGTTTTGGGGTTACCTACATTCAAATCCTTTTCTCTCACATGGATTTTTATTTCATTATAGGACTCTGTGGCCTTATGATACATGATTACAGAGCTACCTTTCAATCTTAGGAATAGAATGTATCATTTATATAACTTTTAATTTTCAAAAACCAACTTGCTCTTATAATTTAGTGAACCCCACTTAACTCTCTCATCATGCTTCTGAAAACCACCCTTCTTTGGTTTCCAGTATTTCACTTTTTGTACATCATTACATCCTCATTCTGGAAGTTTTGGTTATGTGTTCCAGTTTCCTTTCAAAATTAAAATAGAATGAAATAAAAAAACATTAAAACTGGTGATATGACACCAGTTATTTTAGTTTATTTTTAATAAAATACTACCTTTTCCACTGCTTTCCTGCTGTTGAATATTGAAATTGTCAAATCTTGAATATGTTCTATTTTAGTAACACTACACTTCTCTAAATTACCAACAAGCAAATAAATACAAATTAAATTCACAGAGTGTATCCAGCATTGTGTTAAATATCATCAGATACAAATAGAAGCATCACTCATCTCTCTTCTATTTTCACTGAATGATAACATTAGAATTTTCTACAAATATATAGTGAATCTATCTTTAAAGAGCTGAACTTACACCCTACACCTCATTTTCTGCCTTTAATACTGAGGTAAGCAACTAATACTCAGAAATTTTTGTTAAGGAAAATTTACTGATTGAATTCTCTTGTTCCACATCTATTGTGATATGAGCAAGGAAGAATATTTTCAGCCTCTTTTCTGCTGCCAGTATTTGCTGCAGCTGCCTGGTGCATCTCTTCCAAACTAAACGTTTGCCAGCGTCAAGCTGTAAGGTTGAAATCTGCAGGGTGGGAAATATTTACACCACAGAAAATGACAAGCACTGCGAATCATTAGTGTAGTCTACTCCCTGCCACTGTCTGCTGTTAAACTTTTGTGCAATACGATTGTACAGCTGATTGATGGGGCAGATTTATTTGTTGAGCTAGAGATCCACCTTTATGAAGTACAGATGATATTCATTATATAAATAGCATTTAATGTATATTATAAAATTTTATGAGGATTATTGAAAAGTACTTTGAAACTGTATAAAATAGAACCGTCAATATCTCAATAGCACAAATTATTTGTTGATTAATAAAATATGAGAGGCACTTTGTATGATTTAAGGCTTAACAATCAATCTGACAATGTTTATAGCCACATAAAAGAAAGGGGTGATATTCAGAGCTAAGGGCAAAGCTGGTTTCCTACAGTAGATATCAAGTCCATATATATTTACTAATTTGAATATGGGGATTGTTCTATACAATACATTACTCCCCAGTGATTGTTTTAATCAGTTCTATACACAGTAGTATCCCTAATCCTTTCTCCATTTCAGGAGTCCTAAGCCTCTGATACATTAAGCCTGTAACATTGGTAAAACATTACATAGTAAGAAGGCCTTCCACAGAAAAGACTTCCTATTTTTTATCTCCTACTTAATATAGAGCTCTGCATACAAAGGGCACATAGAAAAAATATTGATAAGTGACCTCTTGAGGTTACAAATTTCTGTTTTAATTTTAATGAGAGTTCAAAATACTTCAGGAAGCCCTATTCATATCTGCAGGGAAATTCTTACCCTTTGATATAATGTCTCTGCCTTTGGCATTTGCAATGTGGTTAAGTAAATTACATATTAAAACCACAAAATGATCTTCTGACTTCAAATACTTTGAGAGTTTACATTAGAAAAAGTGAATCTAGTATACTGGTCAGATCTTACTTACCTTTCAAATAAAAAGTCAAAGAAGTTCCCTACGTGATATACATCACTTTTGACATCAGCCTGTTCATCACCATACCATATTAATTTTCCCAGCCACTGCCTCTATGTTGAAAATGGTCTCAACGACTTGCTATTCCAAACTGAATGTTCCTGTGAGGTTGAAAATTTCAATTCCTTGTTAGTTGAAATTGAGATTACAGCCAGATAGATGCAATTGAAATTCTGCTCCTGTCTCATTTTCAGTGGTGGCTAGAATCTAATACAATCTTCCCCTTGCATGTGATATTGGCAACACTAACAACAGCAACAACAAAATGAAAACAAATATATTAAATTTATTGTATTTATAATTAGATAATGTTTAAAGTTGAAGAAAACTCATACTCTTTCCCCTTTTAGTTGTTTTCATATAAGATCATGTCTTTAGGAAATGAGTACTCTGAGAGTATTGGAAAACCCCTTCCCTCTGGAGTTGATGATTCACCTGAGGGAGTGCATGCTTCTTCAGGTCTGCAGTTTGGCAACAATCCTAGATTTAAACACTTTCAAGCATTTTATTGTTTTGTACACACACACTATAAACTGTTTATAAGCCATCTTACCTATTTAACAAGATGTTAAACTGCCTAAGTGATGAACTATTTATCAATTATTCTACAATTATGTTTTAGTTTTGTTCTTGTTGCTATTCTTATGTTGTTTGAGGTAATATTTTTTAATTTGCTTTAATACAATGTGATTTTTGCCATTGAGGCTGAACAAGTCAGCTTGTCTAATGGAGTTTAAATATTTATTTGGAGCTTTAATTGGAATATTTGATATTTTGAAAATCTATAAGCATAATTTTAAATTTAAAATTTTTTTTCTGGGGGGACTACTTAATCTGCACCCAATTAGTGTGGCTTTTGCAATCATATTTAGCCTTTTTGAGAGGATTCTATTCAGTATATTTTATGTATTTGATACTATTTTATTAAAATGTGAGATTCAAGAGAAATATTTACCTACATTCCAAGTCCCAAAACTATTTTTTTATGATTGCAAGGATAATCAGGAAAAGAAGATAAAAGCACGTAATTTTCTAAATGCTTAAAATATTTTTTCAGTATTTGCTGAAGTATTTCTCATTGAGATACATTTAAAAGAAACCTTTCTACATAGAATACTTGATGCAGAATATGCCGTGTTTCTCTAAATTTTTCTCCTCTGATTGTTTTCTTTCAGTTACTGGCTGACAAACAAAGTTCCCATCAAAAGGCCCAGCACGGGTCTCCTCATGTATACACTGGCCACAAGATTCTGTGATGAAATTCACCTGTATGGATTCTGGCCATTCCCTAAAGATTTGAATGGAAAAGCTGTCAAATATCATTACTATGATGACTTAAAATACAGGTACTTTTCCAACGCAAGTCCTCACAGAATGCCATTAGAATTCAAAACATTAAATGTGCTACATAATAGAGGAGCTCTGAAACTGACAACAGGAAAGTGTATAAAGCAATAAAGCACATTTTAAAACATGCAAACAAACTCAACATGCACTTCGTTTCTGAAGATGCTTCTGAAGGTTTGAAAATAGGATCCAAAACAGAGCTGGCTGGGTTTAAGCATTCACAAATTAACTGAACGGTTGATGAAAGAAGTTCATGTGAAATCCACTACCAGCTGATGAAATACCTGCAAAGTGCTCTAAAAATTAAATGTTGTGACTTCAAGGGTCCTAGTAAGTGCCACTTCCACTAAGAATACAGTTTGAATGTATAATCAGTAGTGTTTACAAGATCCAACAATGCACTTATCATTAATTAAGGAAGCAAACATGTTCTTCATTTGTCGGGCTGCCAAAGCAATGCCAAGCACATTAGAAGGGGAACCCGGGAACACAACTCAGCCCTTGGGAAATTAAACCATCCTTGTCAGCAGAAAACAAGATGGAAACATTTTGAGCAGTGGAATCTATAAGAATAAACAACTCAAGTAAATGCCTTCAGTCAGGACTCTGAGTCTGATCATGAATTTTGCTTGTGTTTATTTTTGTTTGTCTTCTAGAATCTCTTTCAGTTGGGGTATTGGTTGCTTAGCAATCTTTTCTGAGATACACAAATAGGAAATACATATGAATGAGAAAGATAAATGTCAAGTAATAATTTCTGAGGTCTCATTCTATTTTTGAAAAAAGCAATTACACAAAGGTTTTTTTTGAAGTTTTATTTGGCACAACTTTAAAACTCCAGATTATTTTTCAATGGTGTAAAAGGTACCAGCTGATATGTGCCCCTCGGTAATAATGAACCTTTCTAAAACAAAGAAGTTTCAACATCATCTGAGATGGTAAAATTAGCAGACAAAAATTTCACTTGTGGTACCAAAGATTATATTCATGTTTCTACACAGCAAACTGTTCTCCTTTGATCAAAATAATGTGTTATTTATATGAACATGTTATCATCCTACTAATGTAAAATTGTCTCTATTTTAAAATTTCCAAAATCTTATTTTATTTTTATTGAAAGGAGAACTTCTTTACCTTTTACATTTCATAACTTTGTGGGAGCATTTTTCCCTTAGAATAAATATTTGATTGATATAGCTGAAATGTGACTTCTGGTTCTTAAGTATTCCCCCTGTTATTTAAATACAAAGGTTGGCACGCTGTTTATATCATTATTAAATTTCTTAGTGTAGAAATAACATGATTAAGACAGTGTTGTTTTCATAGAGATGATTAATTTTAAGACATTTGACATTGAAACTATGTGTCAATAAATTGTACCTAAAATATATTCAATTTCCCAGTAGTATTCTGTAGTTAAATTTAGTCACATTATCAGTGAATGCATTTTTTAAAGAAAAGTGAATTGATTCATAAAATGATATAAAACAATTTAATATATAACAGTATTAGGCAATTTTCTGGTAACTTATTATCCTGGGAGGTAATTCTGATGTAAATTGTTTCTTTAGAAAGCAGAAGCACTGTGTTCTTACTTCTTCTTTGGCCAGAAACAACTTATATGCTTCTTGTTTCTTGGCGAAGGCAATCTGAGAAAAGAAGAAATAGCAGGAGAAATATGCATGTTTTATTTCTTAGAGAAGGCAGTCTGAGAAATAAATAAAAAGCATATATATATATGCATATATATTTATACATATATATATATTCATGTTACCATGGGAAAGGACATCCACCATAGTACAGTTTTCAATATTTTTAATAATATGTGGCATTATTTTTTAAAAATACTGTATGGTAGAACACAGGGATGCAGGAGATGATATTTTGTGAAAATTCATGTTTCTCTAAGAAAGCAAAGTAAAATGCATAATAGAAGATCCACACCTGAAAATGAATACAACCTTAATGTACTTTATCATGAAACATGATAAAGAACCTTTAAGAGAAAGTTACATGATTTGAATGTAAAGTTGAATAGTCTAATTTACTTAACAAATAAAATACAGGTGGTTTATAGAATCTTTCTTTGGACTATGTGCAGGTAGTATGCTGTATCTAGTCACCTTTAACTTGAATTCAACAGAAATCAGATAGTCACAAGTAAATTCTTACATATAAAATTTAGCTTGACACTCATTCAAAGTATGTCTTTAAAAGCAGCAGTAATGTACAGTACCTTGTCATTTCTACTGTATTTTCAACAAATGCATTTAAACAGTGTTAAAGCCACAGCAAGTCCATTTCAGCCTTTCAACGTTCTGTGGACTTGAGTTTATCTCCTAGATGCATTGGGTAGTGCCTTTTTAGCTTCTTCATGTTGCTTTGTTACCCTATGCTTTGCGTTCTCTAAATATTTGCCCAGTTCAGAAAGACTTCAGCATAAAAAAGGGCTTCAGTATTGACTGAGACTACTTTTATTCATCTCAGGGAACTTTCAGTACTCAAGAGTGAATTCAATTAAAGGTATTTAGGGTTCAAAGAAGACAAACTATACAAGATCATTTCATTCCCTGGTGTAAACCGTGCCACATGCTCTTCTTTCAGCATCCTCTGTGGCCTTCTTATAGTGATAGACGCACTTCAAGGAGATCATTGAAGGGTAACAGCAAGAATAATAAACAGATTTGAGTTTTAATGAACACTGGGCAGAAAGGATCATAACAAAATCAAATTAGGAATACATACTTGAAGTATTTCTTTTTTCCTTTTAAGAATATCATGTATTTACAGCTTTAATTTTTAAATTTCTTCTTCATGATTTAACCCTGTACCTGGCAATGCTCAGGCAGGAGATTATGAAATATTCCTGTTGTTTAGGTAATCTGGTTGCTACTGTGCTGTTGACATGAATAGGCCTTGGAAACACTTCCACCATTGTTCCCTAGCCTGTTCAGAAATTAAGTTGCTGATATTAAAAAAAAAATTCAGTAACAGATTTTTCGGGGCAAATCTAATGATTCAGCCCACAAGACTGAAGAAACTACTGTGGAAGCTTGTTTTTGCTATCTGAAAGAAGGTGCTGAGCATTCCAATGTCTTCATGTGTTGTAAATCACATGAATTGTGTACCAATTGTTAATGGGAATTCTACATATGTGCTTACAGATGTCATTAATTTAAATAATGCTAGGGGTAGTGTACATACCAACTAGTTACTAAGCTTAGTACACAGGAAAAAAGTGAAGAAAGTAATTTATTTCCATTGAGTCAGTTAGTCATAATGCACATAATGTGGTGTTTGGTTCATAAAAGGGTTGCTTTTGTGTGGTTTTTGTAAAGACTATCTGTAATTGTGGAAGGGATGTAAGAAGAGTTGTGTATAGTTAGATGTTATCTCTTAAGGTTGGAAGTTTTTCCATCACATATTATCTATATACCACTGTTTTAAAATTTGAATGAGGGTTATTGTTTGTATTTGATAAAAGAAAATCCAAATAAAGCCCACCTAGAAATAGATATTTTATTATATATGTGCTATCGATATATCTATATAGTACAAATAGACATGTGTCATGCATATATACAACGTTATATATGTGTATCTGTGTGTATCCACACTGAGTCTGTAATATTACATACTAGATTTGTGTTCTGCTGATATCTTCAGGGTTTGCACTGTGAACCACCCTGGAGATAAGACCACTTTAGAAGAAGGAAGTTCTTTTGAGACTTCTGATAGAAACCTGCTTTATGAGAGTTCTACTTTATGTCTGAATTTTGTGCTGTTCATACCCGTAGTTATAATAAGGGACAGTATGTCCAAACCTTAAGAGAAAAAGAAAAAAAGAAATGTAAAAAGAAAAAACTCTTCAAGTTGGCAATGTATTTGAATTGCAGTTTTCAGATTGGGGCTCCAGGCTTTGTGTTTCTCATTTAAGTAGCACCTTGTAATAAATACTGTCTCTGTGTATAGGCAAAAGCACAATTGTTTCCAATGTACATAGCAGGAAGAAAAAGTTTACAGAGTTAGCATTGCTGCACAGGATAATTGCTACTGAGTATTTCTTACACCATTTGTGAAATTAAAAGGTGAGGTTTATCATGTCTGGTTCATTCTGTTCCAAGCTGCTTCCCTGTTGTTTATGTACAGCAATTGGATATTATTGTTTTATCATTTGTAAAATTGTAAAATAAATTGAACCCTTTTTTCAATCTTTCATCTCTTACATAGAAGTCTCTGATTTCTCTTTATAGGTCAATAGGGGGCAGTGATTTTAGAAAAGTTTCTAATAGTACTTTCTCCCCCTCTCCTTAGTCCCTGTCATTGACAGTTAGGCTAATCATTTATTTTAAGGAAGGTGCAACAGAATAAACACAATATGAATGTTGCAGTATTCATCAGAAAATCGTTAATGGTGCTTCTTGTGTGGGGAACATTCTGTTCATTGTTTGGGGAATGAAACATTACATAAATGAGGGTCTTTTATAGCCAATTTATACTCCTTCTGACTAAGGGAACTCTGTCAGTTCAGCTCTACAGGTGAAGTCAATGAATCCTCACACAATATGTACTCTAGGGCTGCCCTTTGACTTGTGGTTTTATCTGCAAATTGCTATTCTTTGTACTACCTTCCAGGAGATAAGATTGAAAGACTACGCATGCAAATCTTTTTTCCACGTCGTTTTGTAACTTACAAATCTGTTTTCACGTTGCACTATTTTCTGAAGAATACTTTAATTCCATGAGGTCATTTTTAGTATTCTGTGCTTTTGAAATATTTTCTGTAGACTACAACGAATCACCAATAATGGTTAGTGAACATAGATATTATCGGTATTTATAGAATTTCCTTTTACTTTCAAAAGTCCATTGAAGCTGGGCCTGGTGGAACATGCCTGTAATCCCAGCACTCAGGAGGCTGAGGCAGGATGAGTTCTGGGCGAGCCTCAGCAGCATAGTGAGTTCAAGGCCAGGATGAACTACATAGCGAGACCCTGTCTCACAAAACAAAAATAAATTTTTTTAAAATGCCAATTGAAAATGAATTATTCCTATTAGAAAGTAAATGCATTTCATCATGGATCAACTTCTGATGTTATAGAAGAAAAATCAAGATTTGGTATGCATTTTGATGACTTTGATTCAGTTTTCAGAAAGGCAGTTTTAAAATATGACTTGTTCTACTGTCAAATATTTTTTCAAAATGTTTATTTTTAAAAATAGGTTTTGGTGTGTTTTTTTTCTGAAGTGGCTAGATTTGCAAAAATCATCCTTTTTAGTGCATTGTAGTTCCACATGCATTGCCAAGAAATGGTGTGTTATCACACAATTCCAAAGTGCTCTCATGGATTAACAAGGTACTATACTATATTACCAAATCTGAGAAGTGGAGTTACTTTTAAGAATTAAAATTTTCTAACCAAGAATGACCAAAAATCTTAAAATTTTGCAACTTTAATATGTGAAAGTCATAACCTACTATCTTTTTTAGTAACTTTAGTAGAATTAAATGCTGGACGTAGGATTTTTCATTTGATTTATTATACAAATACTTATATTACACATGTATTATGCAACAATAAATTGCATTATTATTACCTTTTCTTACATTAGGCATTACAATTTAAAATGCAGGTATCAGAATTTAACGTTCATTTGATTAAACACAGACTCTGCAGATAGTTGATTTAATTTTTGAGGAAGCTTTGTTTTTGTTTAGGTGACTGAATCAAACTAATCAAATTTACTAGGGCTTACACTGTTGTTAGTGTAAAACAAACTGAAATTTTGCTTATAGTAACCTAAAAACTTGTGGGGACAAGTTACATCTTATCATTTTTAAGTTAATAAAATGTAAATTATCTCTACTCTGGGCCAAACACAATTTTAAATGCTTTATATACAGAAAAGGTGGTTAAAGTTAATAACAAATCTGTGAGACGGGGCCTACAAATATCCCAATTTTACAGATAAGATGAGAAGTATTATATAATGTGCCCAAGGCTACACATCTCAGAAGTAGAAGAACCAGGACTTGAACCCACTAACATCGAGGTCTACCTTCTTAACGATCACATTTTGCTGCTGCTTCCACTTAACTGGCAAAACTTTCCTAGGAAACTAGAGTAGCACATTGGCTATTTAATGAACACAGATCAGAAGTATAGTTAAGTAGGTAGAAAGAATACACAATTTAGACTTTGAGGAAGTCTACAAATGATCCATGCCTTGAAACAGCACTAACACATCTAATACCAAGAATATCAGTGCTTTCCAGGACAGCATCTTTTCCATGAAGGTGCCAGATAAAACCTCCCAATTCTTGTTTTCTCTATACACATATATACACAAATCAGCTTCCTCTTATGGTAGAGTCTTACTTTGGATATCACAAATATCATTGCATTATAGGCATTTTAAAGTTGAGGCTCCTTTCAAAATATTTCTATTGCATTTGGGAGTTTCATTCATCTCTACTAGCAACCATTTACAGAAATCTCTTAGGGTTAAACATCTGCAGATGGCCAAGCCTATCAATTTGATACTGATTTTTTTCCTGCTTTCTCTATCTTCTTGGGGATGGGAGATAGCTGATCTTCAAATTAGGAGCCTTTCAATGACCTCCTCTGTGTGCTACCATCATTGTGCCTAAGCCCATGTGAACCAGATAACATTGGATATAAGAAGAAAATTGTCAATTTATTCTTAAAGATGAAAAATTTCAATTACTTGCCTTCCTTAATTGCTGGAATTTCAAATATCTAACTCTGTGAAATGCCAATATAAATCTAGCTATTTAATTATTCATTTTTTTCTCAGATTGGTAATTCATGACTCAATCTCTAATGTGAAACTTCTCAAACACAAAAGAGTAGTGTCCATGATGCGCTCCAAGAAGATGCAGTCAATGCCTTGTCCAGAGATCTCCTCCTTGAAAATTCAGAAAATACATGAACTTTGTAAAAGAACTGTGATCTTGCTATAAATGGAGAAGTTTCTATTGTTTAAAAACCCAGAGTTACTCTTTAAAATAACTTCTGATAGCTATGAAATTAATATCTACAGAACATACTTTAATACTTATATTACAATAAAAATTTAAAAAACAATAAATGTTTCATTTGCACAAACTAATATTTATTTTACTGTTTGCCCACCAAGTAAGTACTTTTATGTTTTTAAATATGAAAAAAATATTTAAACATATATTTCTTCTGTAGTTATTTTTATGGACATGATAATTCTTTTGTACAGTATTTATATGCCATAGCTACATTTTTAAGAGTAGTCCTACTACTAAACAATATTTTTCGTTCTAGGTAATACACATAAATCTGTAATTCTTAAGGCATTTAGTAGCACAGGAAGAAAAGATTGCTCTGAGGTGCAATTTGCATTCTCTGGAGCATCTTGATTTATGATAGTCCAGTCACTCACTGCTGTGTATCCTGCCCTGCTTCCTTAGCCCCCGTCTCACAAAGTACGCAGATGGGCTGACTAAAAGCACATCTGCACGGGCTGCCAGAATGTAAACACACTCAGCTGGTAGCAGATGTTTTCCAGGAATGCTCACTACCACTGGAGTTGCTCCGCTTTGGATTTGATGTTAGTTAATCTCCATGGTTGGGCATAAGGCCATCTTGTTCAAACAGTTAATTCGTCTCTGAGGTACAGAACAGTAACAGGTTAAGAGGCAGGCTCTTCTCTTTGACATTTACCATGAATGTGTATTTAGAAACATTGTTAAAGTGTGTCTGAAAAGGTCAATGAGTTTTTGTGAAAAAAAATGAGATTTTTCTTCTACTTTAAAATCTTGTTTTCTGAGCTTTTCCAAGATAATATATAAGATTTAGTGAGAGGAAAGTGTCCCTTTTGGTTTTCTATAGTTATTGGTGTAATTCAAGTTAATTTTCTCAATTAATGTTCTAATAATTCTCTGCATCCATAGTTCTCAGTCCTGTTTTTTATTAAAAATACTAAGAATTTGTTTGTGGATGTGTTTTATTTAATAGCATTCTTTTCTTACGTGAATTTAATCCCATCACTGGAGAGGCTGAGGCAGGAGGATTGCTGTGAGTTCCAGGCTAGCCTGGGCTACATAGTGAGTTCAGGACCAGCCTGAACTATGTACTGAGACCCCATCTCAAAAAAAAATTATCATATAAAATTCTTACACTCATTCAACATTTAGAAAGTAATGCTACCTGTTAGTTACTCTCTTACACGTTGGGAATTCCTTCCCACATGTTTTTCAGAACTTAGGTAGAAAAGGCATTAAACAAAAAATATCATTTGGTACCAAGTCTCTTATAGCATGTCCAGAAAGTTAAGGTAACATAGCAGGAACTGGTGGATAGAGTCATTGATCTTTGCTTGTAGAAAAGGTTAACCAAGAGAGCATCTTCTGACTATTGGTTCTGGGGTGTGAAAAGACACCTTTCCTTCCATTTGGGGAACACTTATTAGCTGTTAATCATGTGGACTTACCAGGAGCTAGCACAGCTTAATCTGTGCAGCTGTACTGTAGATGTTGGAGTGAGGAGCAACACAGAAATTCTGATCATCTATGAATACTGCAGTGGACTTGACAGGACATGAAATAGATGAATTTCAGGAAAGATTCGAGTCTGCCGGACTCTTGACTTTCGGCGTAAACTGCACTAGCACAGGCTCTGTTATTTTGAAACATGCTCAGCAGAGAACACACGCCAAGTTGGGCTGGCCTTGGAGCCAGATGATAAAATCAAGACACGAAGACCCAAATAAGGCAATAAGACTCTTTTAAAATTATTTCATTAACCTGAACAGTAGAGTTTGGAAAAAAAAAAAAAAAAGATTGTTTTAGAAAACTTTAAAAAATGCTTTACCAAATGTAAATGTATTGTATACCTAAAATGTACCGATAAAAGAATTTAAGGGGGAAATAAAAAGCATTCACTCTATATTTTGATTACCCCATGTATATTAAAAACATACTTTACCATCCCTATTTATTATGCAAATTACACTCCCCCCATCCTGCCCATACTTTTCCAGATTCATTGTTAAATTATACATTTAAATAAAACCAAAGCCTAACCTAAACCAAGCAAGTACCACCAAAAGGAAGTGAATGCAGTACTGGAGATTAATCTCAGAGCCTCCACACTGGCTACATCTCCAGCCCCTTTTATCACTTTAAAAAAAATTTTAAGATAGGGTCTCCCTATGCTGCTAAGTTGCCTAGGCTCTGCTTGAACCTGTGATTCTTCCGCCTCAGCCTCCCGGAGTGCGGGCATTGAAGATGTGTGTGTACTATCACACTCAGCTTGTAACCGCATACTTCTGAAATTAACCATTACACAATACTTTTCAGTTCCAAATATGAGTGTCTTTATTTATTTTGTATTTCCAGCTTGAAGGAATGCACCATAAAAGAAAATGCCTTATACTTAATTATAAATGATGAATGCCTTAAATAATTTATTTTAGTCACTGCAATAGATATTTCCAAGTTTTCATGATTTTTTAAGATTTACCTTATAATCTTTCCAGAATCTACAAATCCACAAATCGTGCCAAAATATTCTAAATATACACTGTGCATCTAATAGTTCTCCATCAATGACCATTCTGCCTCTCTTCGGAGTGCTCCCCTTTTGTGCTTTTATTTGAAATGTGCTTCTTGAAAATTTTCTTCAATATTTTTCTTCTGTCTCCACACCTACAAAGATCTTAACTATTCTGATCCTTTGTAAACTGTGGTAGGTTGTGTTAGTTACTTTTTTCTTGTTGCTGAGACAAAGTGCCCAGCACCAAAAGTTAACAGGGAAGGGGTTTATTTGGCTTAGAGTTCATAAAGGTTTCAGTCCATAATTGGCTGACTCCGAGGCTGGGATGGCAAACAAGTATCACAGAAGACAAGCGACATGATGCCCAAGAAATAGCAAAGACAACAAGGGAATTTAACAGCATCTTTAATCTTATTCAGGCTACCGGGATTAGGGTAGTGCCATACTAATCACTCACGTGTAGTGGTTTAGTGATCACAAGCTCTTAACCCCAGCATCACACAGTCCAGATTCAACTACCTCTGAAAAAAAAAGTCTCGCCTCATCCACATGAGGCTTTGGGGGGACATCTAAGCACCAACCACAACACAGGTACATACACACCTTAAAGATGGTGAAATAGGGGAATCAATCCATAGAAAAATGTGAATACTTTACTCAGGTTCCCCTTAAAACAGAGTTTAATGGGAATGATTTAATTTAGCAAATGCTCATGGAAGCAAATGCTGGGAATTGGGGAAATGTATCAGGGAACAGAAAGCCTACATCAAATATGTTTTCAAATTACCTGCTTATGAAAAATGAGTATTCAGTCTAACGTGGTCTGTCTGAAGGGCTTCTTGATAAAAATTTAATGTAGAAATTTGCTGCATTTTGTATACACAACTGGAACCCAGTGACACAAGAGGATGAGGCAGGAAGAACACAAGTTTGTGCCCAACCTGTGCAACTTAGCAAGACACAATCTGGAAATAAAGATTTAAAAAGTCTGGAGAAGTAGTTCAGTGATACATCACTGCAGAATATGATACCCAGTCTTCTCCCCTCAGTATTCCAGGATGAAAGAAAGAATTACTCATCAGAACCATTGCTCCATTGAGAGTTTCCCCATGAGTCATTAAATCTCTCAACTTCTGAGTTACATTTGTGAATTCCAACCTAGTTCCCAGAGGTGCTGCATACTGTATTTCAAAAAGTCAGTCAAGCACATTAAGAGAGGGAATGAATGCTTGGCTTGAAGCCTATCTACACAATACTGTTTGCTGAGTCAATGACTGGAATCCCAGGTGAGGCAGAGAGAAGTGTGGTAGTATACAGATGTTTGACGTTATCTCTCTAGTTTCTTACTTGTATAGACATGTGCACTCCATTAATTCCAATCCATAACCAATTCCCCAATTTGTTAGAATTTTGCCAAATTTACAAAAGACAAAAGGCAGTTGGTTTAGTTGCACTATCTATAAATCATTCTAAGTTTATTTTTATTCATTATCTCCTTTCATCTATCATTTTGGAGCATTCTCACTTCACTAAGTATGAGTTTATTAACTCAAACATTCATCTCAAAGAATCTGAGGACTTAGCGATTTTTTCTGGCATTTTGATTGCCACAATTATCCACTCAGTTTTTAAAAGTAAAAGCATGAGGAGACACTCAGTGACTCTTCTGGGTCCAGACATGGCCTTCCTTCCCCTCACTGTACATCATGAACTCCACCTCCCTGTCATGGTCATTACCAATTACCTCTTGCCAGCAGGATAACACTTTCCTTTTCCTATTGGCTCCTACACATGAGCAGTCCAATTTCATGAGGTAGCAATTTTAGTTTCAAGTTTGGTATGACTTACAACATGTCTATGGAAGTAATTGGCCCCCTATAGAAGCCAGGACATCCAATATAAATAGAGTTTGAATTTTTGAATCCAAGAAATAGAATTTTGCAAGTTGGATTAACAGAAATGATGGAAAGGTGGGTCAATGGTACTTTTATTCCTTGTCTATGAGACTAATATTCTAGATATTGGGGACACAGCACCTTATATTTTCCAATCCTACATGATATCTTGGTGGTGATCTGTCATTTTGCTGAGGAGCTGAGAGGTCATTTCATTATATTAGCTCAGTAATTTGTGGTAATGAAATATGTAGTGAGATAAGTGGATATCATGGCAATGATAACACACCCATTGCTTCCCCTTGTTTGCTAAGAAATTGTCCATTGTCTGAGAAACTGTTTCATAGTGATTTATTAAGTGCCTGCATAGTAAGGTAGGAAGAAATACTATGTCTAGAAAAATAAATTCCTATCCAGAATTATACAAATTTTGATAAAGTTAAAATACTGACTCTTCCATGGTTGAAAGCGTCCAATAGAATTGCACCTTGTTTCATTTCAATTGTCCAGTTTTAGTTGGTACTACATTGGGTGGTCATGTTGGTTACTGCCATTGACAGTTTGCTCATTTGGCAGTAGCCATAGCTATTCAGCCTCAGTGAAAGGGAATCTACTCTATTGTGTCCAAGCATAGTCCCATCCCTGCCATCCTAGACAGCCCGTTCATAGATCCACTGCATGAACACTGTGGTAGCTAAGAAGTAAGCTGCCAATGTGAGCAGGATAAAATATGTTGTCCACCTACTGGTCAAGTTTCACCATTGTGGTAAAAGGGTGTCTGTAGGATACTAGTATGAGCTATATAAAAATCCACAAGCTATGTGCTTTCTCCCTTTTCCACCTGGATAAATTATCCCAGACTTGCTTTTTTTTTTTTAACCAGTCTTTGTCTACTTAATTCCCTATGTAATTATTAAAAAATAATTTGCCCCTTTGATACAAAGAGAATGACCAAGAATATGACTTCTAATTTTGTTCAGTGTAAAGATTTACCCCACCAAGACACCATAGAATCATACCAGAGTGGAGGGTAAGTACAGTGGAAGTACAATTTCAGTTCAATTATCTATTGAGCTGACCCACAGGAGAACATGACCTGTTTTTGTTTGTTGGTTTTTCTATTACTTGGTTCTAGATTACTCTATGGAAGGGTATAGATATCAGCTGAGGATAAACAGTGGTCAAATTAAAGTTGTTGAAATGGGATTCTGCGCCACTATTTGTATAACTTATGTGCAGAACCAAGATCATGTTATGGTCTGAGAGGTCAACCCAATATTCACATGCTGAAATCCATGTGAAAATGGCTAAGGATCAAAAACTCAACTCACTTGGGGTAGAGTGAACAAGTGTGACAGTAATAGCTTAAATTAGAGAAGTGACAAAACAGGTGAAACAGTAAGGAACAATCTGTTATGAACTGACTGGTCATGAACATAATTTTCTTTCACTGGAAGACCCAGTTAATGTTTTTGTTAAGCAAATGAATACCGTAATTAATAAAATTAATTTGGCTGAAATGTTGGAGAATAGGTATTATTGAGCAAAGATGAAATCACTGAAATAGTAAGTCACAGTAATTATGACTTCTCTGATGTCAGAGGCAAGCTTCTAGAAAGTAAAAACCAACTGTATTGGCTGGCAGGTTCAATGTAAATATGAGGGAAAAATGCATAAAGAATGATGCTTCAGATCTCATCCAGAGCATATGGAAAAGTGAAGAAAGACATCATGGTGACAGTTGGAAATCTAAGTCTGAAAGGTGATAGGCAGAACTGATTAATTAGCCTTGTGTGGACAAAGAATGTGTCATCCCATTTGTACCAGTCAGACTTCGGTAATCAGTCCTTTAGGATTTACATAAGTAGAAGACAGCTGCTTAATCAAGGTCACTCCAACATCAGAGCTTCACATATTCAGTTACTGACTGAGGCAAGACTGTGAAGGTTTAGTCAGCTGGAGTCAGTGTGAGACAATTATGATCAGCTCTATAAGTTCTAGAGCTTCCATCTGCCCTATTGGCTAGCAAGCCATCTCCACAGTAACCTTACATTAAAGCCACTGGACTTTGACTTTGTCTCTGAAGTGCCAAATCATTCTTTCCAATTTTAAATTCATTGCTATTAGTCTCTAAAAAATACACAACTTATAAAATTCCATTGCAGTGTCTGCTTCAATTCAACCTGGGAAAGATGGCTCTAGAAGTGGCAGAGAAATCATACGGTAAGAAATGAAACATCCATTTTATCAGTTTTGGTAGGCTGACCACAGATACCTGCTAGCATAAATTGGTGTTTAGTTATTAGTGTTTAGTTATACTGAATTCATATGGAATATTGGTGCCATATAATAGACAATGGGAAATAG